ATTACTACTACTACTACTGCTGCTGCTACTAATACTACTGCTGCTGCTACTACTACTGCTGCTGCAACTACTACTGATGTTGCTGCTGCTACTACTACTACTACTACTACTACTACTACTACTACTACTACTACTACTACTACAACTACTACTACAACTACTACTACTACTACTACTACTACTACAACTACTACTACTACTACTACTAGTACTACTACTACTGCTGCTGCTGCTGCTGCTGCTCGTTCTACTACAGGTACAAGCTAAAATAGATACGCTTACGACGAATTAAAGTGGAACATACGTTCTAAAACTTGGCAACAACGACTCGATAATTGAATCATGTTTAATTGCCATTTCTCCTGCATGCACAATACAAAACAGTCAAATTTAATTTAAAAAATTAAGGGAGCAAAAAAAAAAAAAACGATTGATATAGTCAGCTAGAGTAAATGGTCACAATGCTGGACTCTGGTTAAAATAAAAATAAACGGCACACAGGGAAGACTACAAGTATTATATGGTAAAGCATCATTAGAACATCCTGAAAACAGTAATAACATCTTTAAAACATCATTAATGACACCCTACAAACGTCGTTAATGACATCACCAAAACATCATTAGTGACATCCTCAAATACCAATTATCACACCTTCAAAACATTATTTATGGCATCCTTAAAGTAAATTCATTCTGACAATATTTGTTGAATATCTGTGAGATTTGGTTTTATTGGTTGCTTGGTTAAACCAATAAAAATCTGACCACTCTCGACCAGCATAAGAGCAGCTTTTTCTGGGCGATTACTTGTCCTCTTCTGTTTATTGTTAGAGCCAAACGCCTCACACCTAGAAATGCATTTAGGACTGAATCAGCTACTTTCTTTTTTTTTTCGAAACCCAAACCCTGCTTCTTTAATGCACCTAAAGATGCATTGACCAATCCGCCTTCCTTTGGTAACGTAGTTGATCTTCTTTCTTCTTCTTTGCGTTCACCGGCTGTAAACTGCGGCGGAAAGTTCTGGTTGTTTGTCCACTTCTGGACTTTGGTCTTGTTCCAGATTCCAAAACTCAAGTTTTGGGTGCATACCTGTTTTACAGATCTGGCTTATTTGTTAGCAGAGAATGCACGTCATCATCGAAGAAAGATGGCGGTTGTGAACAGCAGGGCCCGCCCGCGTTAAGAAAAGTCTTCTACAGTTAGAACATAAGATTTCAGGACCGTTGTTCCCCGTGTGGGTCCCGGGGTCCCATTGTGGGGAAAACAAGAGCAGACCCACTGCCTCCCCAACAAGCATGTCATATGAGTCTACTAACTGGGGACATTCTTCAAAGTCGGAGTGTATCTGCCTGAGAGGAAAGAACCCACAGTCTGCATACAATTAAGCCAGATCTGTTAAAAGGATATGCACGCAATACTCAGGTTCCGGAAAAAAGACTAAAGTCCAGATGTGGACGAACAACCAGAACTTTCCGACGGAGTTTACAGCCAGTAAACGCGAAGAAGAAGAGGAAAGACCGTTGTTGCCATGACATACATTTAGTCTGCTTCTTCACAAACACTCAACTCTCAACCTTTCTGCAATCATGTTTTTTCCCTTCTTTCTTTATTTCCTTTCTAATTTCCCCCTCTCCCTCCAAGCCAAATAGCCTGGCTGTAATTTCTTATTTCACTTACCACATAAAAGCTATTCACATTCGCCTATTTCACCTAAATAGAAACTTCTTTGTCGACAACGTAAACTGGTGCATTCATATCACAACAGTCCACGAAATCTAATTCATTTCTTTCACTCATCTTCACACTTCCCACACAACTTCCGACCCCACTTCTCACTTGTTAAAAGCTCTCCAGAAGTCACATTCACACACAACATACAGCTTCCAGTTATAATAATAATAAGAGAGAAAATGATTATATACAAGAAATAAATTAATTGTATTTTGTTTGTTTCCATTTTTTCAAGTACCAAGTTTTACTGTGTCAGTACAGACTTCTCGGTACAAGGAAGGAAAAATGAAAATTGCGGATTTAAAGTTCAATAGATAGGAACTCAGAAGGCAGCATTTTATAAAATGACAAATATTCTATGCAATCCTTCTTTGGCAACTAAAATGAGAAAGAGCATTCTTAAAAACTCTATGAATCCTATCCTGATACAGGGAAGTGAATCATGGATAGAGCAATGAAAAATTATTTTGAAGCTGCAGGGATGTAGTTTTATAGACGAAAGATTGATGAGAATACCCTGGGGGAAAAAAGAAACAATAATGTATAGAAAGAAACTAAGTCACAAAGAGAACTGATTGCCCACATAAGAAATAGACGATCTACATTTTGTGGTCATATTATGAGAAAGAGGGAGCTGAAGTGCATCGTGACACCAGAAAAGCTAGAAGGGAGAAAATTCAGAGGGAGACCGAGAGAGAAGATGCTGGACAGTTTGACATCATGGCATGGAAGATCATCTATGTCAGAGTTGACTGAAAGTACACAAGATAGAAGGTTGTGGATAGACATGACTTCAACGTCACACGGCATGAACTATGGAAGATCACCTGTGTCAGAGTTATTTGAAAGTACACGAGATAGAAGGTTGTGGATAGACATGACTTCAACGTCACACAGCATGAAATATGGATGATCACCTGTGTCAGAGTTATTTGAAAGTACACAAGAAAGAAGGTTGTGGATAGACATGACTTCAACGTCACACAGCATGAAATATGGTAGATCACCTGTGTCAGAGTTATTTGAAAGTACACGAGATAGAAGGTTGTGGATAGACATGACTTCAACGTCACACAGCATGAAATATGGATGATTACCTGTGTCAGAGTTATTTGAAAGTACACAAGATAGAAGGTTGTGGATAGACATGACTTCAACGTCACACAGCATGAAATATGGATGATCACCTGTGTCAGAGTTATTTGAAAGTACACGAGATAGAAGGTTGTGGATAGACATGACTTCAACGTCACACAGCATGAACTATGGTAGATCACCTGTGTCAGAGTTATTTGAAAGTACACGAGACAGAAGGTTGTAGATAGACATGATTTCAACGTCACACAGCATGAACTATGGAAGATCACCTGTGTCAGAGTTAAGTGAAAGTACTCAAGACAGGGGGTTATGGATAGATATGAGTACCAACTCCACATGGCATGGACTTTAGGAAGAAGAACTCGAAAGCTTGTTTGGCGACAAGCTTTTTGGACATAACTATCCCATCGTGTAAAAACTGCCAACGTAGTAAATAGTAAACAGCATATTCTGGGTGTTCGGTCGAGGGTAGGAGAGTCGCACCATGAAAAAGCCTGGAACCACACCATTTAATGCTTCTAAAGACATCAGTAGGTACACTGTAGCCAACCGTCATTGAGGAGGCAGCACGTGGAAAAAGTAAATGTAGGTCGGCCTCTGTGGCTTAAGGGGTTGTGAACGCAGTTCAATAATCCTGACACAACGGGTTTGAGGTCAGCTGCAGGTGCTTTGGTAGGAGATAGCTTAACGATGATTCTGATAACGGTATGAGTGTCGTACCTTTCAGAGGTAACGAAATTTTTCACTGCAAATGTTTACCACTCTTAAAGCTATCGGAGAAAATAAACTGGAAAAAGGGGAGGGGGCGTGAGACTGATACTTTAGGGCTGCATGACTAGTGCAGTTGCCATGAACTGTACAGACAGGAACTCGCTTCCACCACCTTTTTTTCAAGGTTTTGAACCCTAGTCTCGCGACTGAGAGCCTACCGTTCTAGCCGCTCGGGTTGAACGTGCAATCGCCAAGGAAAACCACACAGTAAGCACGAATGCAGAGGTTGGTCTGCCACGTCTTGACAAGCACTTGTAACCAACTTGAGTAATATCCGTCTGTCTTTGGAGATGGAGGCAGTCACTGCAGCTTTCGATGCATGATAACCCATGCCAAACACATAAGCTGTTCATGTAACAGACCTATAGAGCGCGCTGAGAAAGATGGAGACAGTTCCCCGCCAGCATCCCTTTAGAGGTCCTCTGTAGCTAAAATGTTTGATACTTATCCTTTACAGGATGTTGCAGATCCAACCCCAGCATTTCGTTTTGGGCTGTTGTGGTTTTTCTAGGCATGTTTTACGTTGAGTAGTTTGTCATTGCTTTCTGCACGATCAGCTTTCGGTACCACTATCAAAACAAACGCAAGACAAATCGTCCGATGCTTGGATCGACTCCGGCACTCCGGTATTACGAAACTTTTGAAACTAACACAAAACTTTCGTAGTAGTCGTCCCTATGTGGGATGCAACATTTCGTTATTTGAAGCACGATCATGGCATTCGCCGGGAGCCCTGAATATAGCTGGGCCTTAAATATGGCCCGACGGCTGAAAGGGATATTTGGGACCTCTCAATGGGCGATCCTCATCCGCATGGTGGCACTTTGTATCACCGGGTGTTTATCGCTTGTGTGATTTCCTGGTGTGGAAAAAAAATACATATCTAAAAACAGGCACACAAAACGGTCTTCTGTTGAATCATCTGAAGCCTGGTGCTGGTAGTTTGGGGCGTGACACCGGATACATAGTTCATAGCCCTTGAGCCACAGGCGCTGAAGTTCAATCGATTTTATGAAACAGAGGGAAGATTGTATCTAACGAACTGTATATTTTTTGTAGCGGCCTGTGTACACTTAAAAGGAGAGAGGGGGGGGTGGGTGGGGGGGGGGGGGTTGTGAATCTATTAAGATTAGTATGTCTATTGAAGATCAGCATGTTTATTGAAGATCACAATGTTCACAGAAAATCAACATTTCCATTGAAGATCAACATTCCCACAGAAGATTAACATGTTCATCAAAGATGGACATTTCTATGGAAAATCAACACTCCCATAGAGGAAGATTAACACGTAGATTGAAGGTCAAAATTTTCACAGACGATCTACATTTCCATTGAGGACAAACATTTCTATATAAAAACCACATTTCCATTAAAAACCAAAATTTCTATAGAAGATCAACTGAGATCTAAGACGTGGTTGAGGTAAGAGATGTAGCAGATGGCAAGACGGAGAATCTCGATTTTCGACAACTTCTTGTCTGGCGGCAAGGTAGGAAGCAGCTTTCTCAAATCAGAAAACGCCACATTGAAAGCTTCTACACGGATTCTCTCCCTTGTTGCGTGAGCTGTTCTGTATTTTTGTGTAGCTCTCCGACGTCTTCGTCGTTCTTCTCTTGACAAATGTACCAGGCTCTCTTTTTCTGGCTGATCGTCTTCTTTGTTGTTGTTGTTGTTGTTGTTGTTATTATGGTTGTTGCTTTTATTGCTTTTAGTGGACAACAACCTGGATGCAGTTGCTGCGGGTGTCACCGGTATGGTTGTATTTGGAAGTCGATTAGCAGTTTGTGGGGTGGACAACTGAGACACGAAGCAGTCATCGAAAGAAGAAACCGAACTCGTATCTTCGTAAGAATGGTTAAAGTTTAGGAAGTGGGTTGATTTGACGTCACTGCAGAACTCAAATGATGGCGGGGGTGAGATGGCGGGTGGCATGTGAGGTAAAGTCAATGTTGGAGCCATTGTATATTCTAGATGTGACGTTCGAAGCTGCTTCATTTCCGGTTACACGCTATATCAGCAAGTATATCAGAAAACTGGACACTGGACAGCTGTTTTCAAGTCTTACATGTGTGCACCTGAGACCAATCGGTCGAGGTGTAATTCGCTTATAAATATCGGTCTCAGGTAGGATTACACTCCTTAGGTGGAAATCTCATTCGTCTCGGGGTGTTCTCCAGCCTGAAAAATAAGAAGAGAAAATTCAGGCATAAAATAAAATTCATAACTATAAAAATCACTAGAATGCAATATTTATATATGAAACAATCAGTAAATTAATTAAACAGGTTAAAAAAAATGACCGAAAAGTTGGGTGTGTTGGAAGAAATGTGCGAATATACTTGCGAATCAGTATACAATTACGTGTAAAACAAAAGCAAAGAATACTAGACGATGACGACAACAACAACGATGACGAAGAAGAAGAAGTCAAGAAGAAGATAACGAAGAAATGAAGAAATGAAGAAGAAGGAGGAGAAGAAGAAGAAGAAGAAGAAGAAAAAGAAGAAGAAGAAGAAGAAGAAGAAGAAGAAGAAGAAGAAGAAGAAGAAGAAGAAGAAGAAGAAGAAGAAGAAGAAGAAGAAGAAGAAGAAGAAGAAGAAGAAAAAGAAGAAGAAGAAGAAGAAGAAGAAGAAGAAGAAGAATAAGAAGAAGAAGAAGAAGAAGAAGAAGAAGAAGAAGAAGAAGAAGAAGAAGAAGAAGAAGAAGAAGAAGAAGAAGAAGAAGAAGAAGAAGAGAGAGAAGAAGAAGAAGAAGAAGAAGAAGAAGAAGAAGAAGAAGAAAAGAAGAAGAAGAAAGAAGAAGAAGAAGAAGAAGAAGAAGAAGAAGAAGAAGAAGAAGAAGAAGAAGAAGAAGAAGAAGAAAAAGAAGAAGAAGAAGAAGAAGAAGAAGAAGAAGAAGAAGTAGAAGAAGAAGAAGAAGAAGAAGAAGAAGAAGAAGAAAAAGAAGAAGAAGAAGAAGAAGAAGAAGAAGAAGAAGAAGAAGAAGAAGAAGAAGAAGAAGAAGAAGAAGAAGAAAAAGAAGGAGCACCCCCCCCCCCTCCCCCACCCAACCGTCTTTTGGTCTATTGGGCATAAATGGTTAGACATGTATTTTATGGACCAGTCAGCACTTGGGGAGTCATGATGTCAGCAACACACCGGCAGCCTTTACTTCCCAGGACTGCACCTGGTACCCACTTAAAGCTGGGTCGACCTGGGAGCCTTGGTCATTTTTGAAACAAATCCGGCTTCGTCGGGACCCAAACGCACGACCTTACGACCCGCAAGCGAGCGCCTAGCTGACAATCGTGACTGCTTAAACCTCTGTTCAATATTGCCTTTCGAGAAAGAACGTTTCACACCATACATATTTAACATGCAGAGAGCGCTACCCCCCGTGTGCGAAAGAAAATGTACAACCCACTTACGCGTTTTTTTTTTTTTTCTTCTTGTAGAGCTAGCAACAGTCGGCTCTACAGCTAAGTCGATGCGAACGCTTCATAATGCCGGGATACCGGGTTCGATCCTAGCTGCGGGCCACGCGCCTTGCGTTAGTTTCGACAGTGGTATCAAGAAAGCCGACCGTCCAGGGAGCAATGGCAAACTACTGGACGTAAATTTGCCAAGAAAAACCACACAACAGCTAGGGGTTCCTGTGGTTGGTTCTGCAACGTCCTGTAAAGGATATGCAACTAACCTAGGGCAAGCAACAACAAAATTGGGCGCGCTGTCTGTTTATCTATTTGATAAAAATTTTAAAAACTCGCTGTCAGCTCTATGACCCAATTAACCGGGAAAAGAAAATCTCCTTGACAACACACGTTCGTCGATGCGCAAGAAGTACCCAGGCACGTGGCCCGTTTGTTAACAGGCCGGCAACTGAGCAAAGTACACGATTGTCGTGTACCCGTTAACGTCCAGGGTACACTGGATTGCTTTAAACAATACCCGATTTCAGAAGAATTTAGGTAAACAATATAATAGCTCGATTGATTAGCGAATAATGAGACGGCATGTTTGTGCAACGGCGCTAATAGTTTGCGAACGGATTTGATCAGCGTGACAACTCAACGTGACAACCCTGCGTGATCTCTGCTGTGAGGATTTGTGAAGCTCCGTGACATGTGAAATGATTCCATTAAGGCACCGCGTGTGGCGTGTTTGCAATTTTTTAATAGAGGGAAGGCTATTGACGTGAAGATAAGGGAAAACATAGAATTATTTGCCTATCGGACATTCCTAGCCTGGTAATAGAAGCCCCGGCACTTAAAAGGGTTCATATTCTTTAATGAGGTCGATAAACTGCTTCGTTACTTGACAGATACAAGACGATACCAGAAAGCGGTAGACACAGAAACATAGAGGTTCGCAATTTATGTGAAATCTTTTAAAGACAACAATACAAATATTTCAAACGTCTTACAGGTAAAAGGTTTTAAAAGCTCACGACGTGTGACGTCGGTAACAAGGCCAATGTCGACAGCCCTCTGTTTGAAGTTCTTCTTCTGCCTTTCTAAGCCCCCATTGGAGCACAGGCCCTCAACCAACTCACGCCAAGTCGTTCTATCATACGCTATCGCATGCAGCTCTTCCCGTGTCCTATCCATTTTTTTTCCTTCACTCTAGCTCCCTTCTCTGTGTGTTTTTTTTTTTTTAATCTTCTTTTTTTTAAATATGCTCCTGTGGGTTCCAGTGCAAAGACATTCTAGTTATATTATTTTCAGATTTCTCAACGTGTGTCCTATCAAATGCCAACGTCTTTTCCTCACCTTTGGTCCACTGGAACTTATTTTGTATCACTCAAAGCTCTACATGAGTGATTCTTTCATACCATTTAATTCCTCCTGTACTGGCCAGGCACCAGTTAATAAATGTTTTTTTTTTTTTTAATCTGGTTTATGTACAGTCAGTCATATATTTTATTGTTATGTGGGTTCCCGGGCCTAATTTTGGAGGAATTAAACACACCCACCCACCCTTCCTTCCCCAATGCATTTCTTACAATGCGACTTATTAAAGGTTTGCAAAAATCGGATGTTACTTGTTGTCCGTGTGTACATCCTAGCATATCGGCCCGCAGGTGCTCCGTCCTCCGATGCAGCAGACATCTCAATGTCTCCACTAGGAAGTCTGATGTAACTACGACATATCCAGCCCTGTTACTTTTAACTTCACTATGCTACCATTGCTACATCATTCTAAATAAATCAAAATATTAACTAGCTCTATCTAACACAATAACTGAAACCACTTCGCATGTGGCATGACTAAAAAGCAGTTGTTCAGGCCGACCGCTATGACGTCCAGTCGACGACTGCTGCCCCCACTTCCCCTCCCGGCTCACAACCGGACCTCAGTTCCTTTAACTCCAGGTAGTTCACGCGGCTTCTGCGGCTTGTGTGCACACCATGAAAATCATACGTTTAGACCCCCCCCCCCCCCCCCGTGGGTTCTGGGGCCCTATTATAGGGAAAACAAGAATAGACTTCCTTCGAAGTCGGAGTGTATCTGCCTGAGAGACAAGGAACCAGCAGTCTGCATACAAATGAGTCAGATCTGTAAAACGGAAGCACGCGCAACATTCAAGTTCTGGGATAGGACTGTAGTCCAGAAGTGGATAAACAACAAGAACTTTCCGCCAGAGTTTACCGCTGGTGAACGGGAAGAAGAAGAAGAAGAAGAAGAAGAAATGTTAAGAGCTTCTTTGGCAGTCCCACATTCACCCGATCCCAACCCCAACCACGATCATGACAATCTTGAAAAACTCATGTATGGATCAACCCGAACGGTGCATGTGTCCTTACATTTCCAATGCCCTTATTATTTTATCAGTTACTGTTGTACAGGTGCTGCTGTTTTCTTGAAGCGGCGAATTCGTTTTTGGATCTTTGTTTGACTAATAGTTTGTGTACCCCTAAAAAAATAAAACATACAGTCATTGGCCCACATGTGAAGATGGTCTTGAAATCAATTCAATTGTAAAGTGATACATGGTAATTATTTTGACAGCTTATCCCGCACGAAATGAAAAGTCCGCAACTCACAGGAGACTAATGCTGGAGATGAGAACCTGAGAGAGAAACGCCTATGATGCGCCTGAACTTTGATGTTTTGAAAAGTTCCCTTACTCAAGCATTACTGTAAGCATGCGGACTGTTTGCTTTGAATCGGTGTCTGATACGCCCTCCCCTCCCCCACCCATAAATAGAATAAAGCAAAATTAAAACTACATGTTTGTTTACATTAAAAAAAAACTATTCTTGCAAGGAAATTATTAATAACACGTTGCTGTCCTCTCCTTCCCTATGTGGGACGATTTTTTCGTTATGGTGAAGCCCCACCCTGGTTGTTGCCAGGGGCCCTAAAATAACCTAACGGTTGAACGCGGTTTCTGGGACCTCTCCACCGATGATCCACATCCGAATGGTGGCACTTTGTGTCACCCGGTGTTTGTCGCTCAGTGTTATATCCTGGTGGGGTAGAAAGTCAATCAGTCATAACAGGTTGCGTGCCAGATGGCAACAGCTTATACCGAACGGTTACTGAGCTAGAGATTTGTAAGTGGGACAAGATTTCTGGAACAGACTGTAATAGTGTTATGGGTGTCAATGTACTGTTCCGTTCAAATTACTACAATCCTGGTAAAACTCTTGCGACTTTCAAATTTCGTATTTATTTTTAACGTAATAAGTCGTCACCTTTTCCTTTTCATTGATTTCTCTATTATCCTTGCTTTCCAATCTTTGAACTTCTACTATCTCAGTTTTTCATTTCTTTAGATCTATTGAAAAGTCTTCCCACCATTTAACTCTCCGTTGTCCAATTTATTTTTCCTTTCTATAACTGTTTGTTGTCCAAATATTTCTTTAATATGACTTTCTATTATCCTAACCCCCGCCCCGCCCCCCCCCCCCCCCCAACTCAACTCTCAGTTGTCCCCGTTTTTCCTCACTTTAACACTCTGTTGTCCTTCTTTTAACTCTCCGTTGTCCTGGCTTTCCCATCTCTTAATCCTGT